TAAAACAGATTTCACGTTGTTTCTTAAGTGAATAGGTGCAGTTCTTCCTATAAGCATCAATTCTTTTCCTACAATCCATCTTAAGATGACCAACTCTCCCACAATGTAAACATATCTTTTTGTCAAACAAATCAACATGTTTCCATTTATTTTTGCTTGCTACACCAAAAAATCCCAGGCCTTGTTTATTTTTATTCACACTCTTAATAAACCAATCAGCGACAGTAATTTCTTCTTTTGTATTATTGGTTTCATTTTTCAAGGCATTTTCTTTAGCAGCCAGACTTTGGTTCTCTAAATTCAGCTTAGCATTCTCAATATTTACATGATTTAGTTTAGAATTAATTTTTTTTAATTCTTCATTTAGTGATTCTAGAGATCTCTCATCATCTAAAATTTTAGTTTTTAGCAAAATAATTTCTGACTTGAGCTTTTTATTTTCTTCATTCAGACATGTTTTAATCTTGATTTCATTTTTCAGGTCCTTTGTTAATTCACTATATTCATCAATAATTTCATTTTTTTCATCACACATAGCCACATATTCGTCAATCAGAATTTCTATATGCTTAACAAGATGCTTTTTAGACAAAGAACATAAAGAAGACTTAAGAATTTTAAGATTTACCTCTTGTGGTTCATCAGCAGTTTCTGAGTCGCTATGCACCATTAAGCAAAGATTCGCTTGTGCATCTTCATCAGATTTTTCTTCTTCAGATTCTGAATCGGACCATGCCGCCACCAAAGCTCTCTTGAAATCCCTTCTCTGATATTTTTGTTTCTCCCTAGCATGCTCTTTTTGTTCCTTCTTCGATTCATTCTCCAGGAAAGGACAATCCCTAATTTTGTGATCTGATTTTCCACATTTGAAGCATTTTTCATCAACCCTAGGTTTTTGTCTTCCTGAGCGATTCTTTGTTGAGTCGCCTTTTGATTTCTTGAAAAATTTCTTGAATCGACGAGCAAGCATAGCGAGATCTTCATCTTCATCGCTTTCTGTTTCATCTTCCTCCTCTCGTTCTGACTTTTGAGCTATTCCTTTTTCCCGTTGAGATTGATTTTTTATTTTGCCCCTTTTTTCCGCCTTAAGTGCGAGCTGAATGTCGTTGCGTTTTTTGAGTGTTTCATTATGAGATAAAAGTTGCATCTCATAAGTCATTAGTGATCCAGTCAACTCCTCAAGTGTAAATATTTTAAAATCTTTTGTCTCCTGTAAAGCAATCACTTTTGGTCTCCAATCTTCATGAGGTAGACTGCGTAGTATTTTTCTAATTTGCTCATCAGTTGGGATTATTTTTCCCAATGCACCAAGTTCATTGACAATATTTGAAAATCGTGTTATCATGCTCCGTATGTTTTCTTTGGGGCTCATGGAAAAAAGTTCATATTGATGCATCAACAAATCAATTTTTGACTGCTTGACTTCATTTGTTCCTTCATGGGTAACTTCCAATAAATTCCACATCTCCCTTGCTGTACGACAACCCATAATTCTATTGTACTCTTGTGTGCCAAGACCACAATGAAGAAGTCTTTTGGCTTGAGCGTTGAATTCTAATTTTTTCCAGTCTTCATCGATATATTCATTGATTGGCTTTGGTATCAAGTCTCCCTTGTCATTCATTTTAGTGATTTCAAAATCACCATTTTCGATTACATTCCAGACTTGATAATTCTCGGCTTTTATGAAAATCTCCATTCGATTCTTCCAGTAATTGAAGAATTTTCCTTCAAAAAGCGGTGGCCTTTGAGTTGAGTACCCTTCTCGGATTGACTCCATTCTTGGATCTACTCTTCAGGAATTACCTGTAAAATAAAGAGAACCACGCTCTGATACCAATTGTTAGTCCCAGTGGTACTCAAGAAGGGGGGTTGAATTGAGTAGTAGCACCTATCTCTCTTTTTTGTTTTTATTCAAATATAATTTTTAATATAATTTTCTAATTTTTGCTAATAAAAGGAAATCACAAGAATGATGCACAAATAAAAAAAACACAATGATTTCTACGTGGAAAAATCTCCTAGGCTCAATAGGAGTAAAAAACCACGACCCACTTGGATTTCAATCCAATGGGATTTAAAAAAAACTTCACTAATTTCAATGAGCCAAAATACTCAAGTACAAGTAGATCCTAATCTACTCTTGAGGCACACTACTTTGATTCAACCCTTTAAATCAAAGTTTACACTTATCCACCGATAAGCCCACACCTATTGTTACTACCAACAATAGCAAGTCTCCACACACGGAGAAAAATCAACTTAAAATGAACCACCTTACTAATACTTCTAGAAAAGCTAAAAGGTGACGATGAAGCACTTAAAACCTAAGCTTGTAAAAAAAGTTAATAAAGAACACAAGTCTTAGGCTAAAAATTTAGATCTCATTTGCTGCTTCACTGTGAGACTATTGGAGCATGGGTATATATATAGTAAAAAAATTTCATAAACTTTTGCTCCCATGATAATGTTGTTTAGACTTTATCCTTATCTCTTAATTTCAAATTTTGATTCTGCTATTTATCTTCAATTGACTGCAACAACTTCAAGCTTTATCTTATCTTCAGATTTGGAATCTCAACAATCTTTTGATATGCTGTAACCACCCAACAAAAATCATCCTGTTTTTTGATCAACAAATAAGGTTGTTAGGATTTGTAATTTAATTATATCAATTGTGTCATCATTAAAATATTTTAAAGTATAGGGTGCAACAGTATGTTGCTGGTATCAGAGATATGCATATATGATTATAAGACTCAATTTTTTTATTTATTAAAATAATTATAAATTTGCATGTAGAACCTAAAGCTTATAATAAATTTTTGTTTGGAATTTTTTGCCATTGATCTTGGAAATCTTGGGGTTTTTGTTTTACGTTATGAGAGTTTTCTATCCATATATCATATGCATGTTTTCATTGAGTATTCTAAGAAAATTGTAAATATGAATTTCTAGGTTTTATTACATGAAAATTTAAAAAAAATTCTCAAATTATTTTCAATCGATGCATTGAAACCTAGGGGCTTTTGAAAAACAAGTTTGTAGTTATCTAGTGACACCAAATTTGTTTTAAATCGTTTCCTATAGTAAAGGAATTTCGTTCATGAATGTATTTTTACGAAATATAGGGTTTATATTATGAAAGTTTCAATCTTTCTTTAAATTGATCTTGTTTCATTGATGTAAAATGAACATTGGTTTTAGTTCTACGGTTGTTTTTCTACTATTTTATGTTATTTTTAATACAAAAATCATACCTTTTGTGCCAAGAAAAATTGCTACCCATAGTTTAAAAATCATTCTTTAAACTTCCAAAAGCTTTAAAAAATATGCTGTTTTTTAGATGGATTATATTATAATCTTGTTAGTTTGTTGTTTCTAGATTGTTTTGTGGTAAAAATCACTCAAAAATATGCTATTTTTGAGCTTTCACGAAACTGTCATGGCGAAACTTAGTGTCGAGAGGGTTAACCCGCCAAAGGAAGAAGAAGACAGTACAATAAAGAAATCTCAAGAAATCCTAGTGTTATGATGAGATTGTGAGAGAAGCATCCTATTTATATTTCTCATTAAAAAATCTCACAAAATCTACATCAATAGAAAATTCATTAAATTTATTAGATTTTTGAATACCATAAGATTAGTTTTACTTTGTTTAAAATTCTCATTGAATACCAACGAATTTGAACGGACTCTAAAATAATTTTAAAATCCTAATCGAATACCACATGACTTTTTTTTCATTCTTTAAAATCTTAATTGAATATCAATAAATTTTTTTGTCTAAAATAATCCATTAAAATCTTTTGAAATCTGAATCTAATATACTCCCTAAACTCTAAAGCATTCTTCGTTTTCTATTTTTAATTTTTTGGGCTATGCCCTTAAAACCAACAAAGCACGGACACAACATTTATTAAGAAAAATGCGTGTCGGACACGGACACGTTCCGACACGCGTCCGACACGTGGTCAATATTTTAGGACACATTGACTATTCCGACACGCGACTTTGACCGTATCGTACACGGTCAAAGGGTAGAAATGTAAATTATTTGAAACTTTTATAAAATTAAAATAAATTTAAAATAAAAAAAAAATTGGGAACCCAACTTGACGATGTTGCCTGCGACTCCGGTGGAGAACAGGGCAGGACGCCACCACCTCACCTCCATTTCCATACTCTCCGGCAACGTTGACATCGACGATGGGATCATACCCTCCTTCGAGCATGAGAAGAAGAACACAACGCTACTGAAACTGAAAGCTCAGATTTTGAGCAAGGAGCAAGCACTGAAGAGAAGATGAAAGCGAGCAAGCAAGAAGCATGTATTGAATACGAATTGGATCTGAACAGACAAGGAGCAAACTCATATTTTGGACACGAAGATGAAAAAATGGAAATGGATCTCAACAGCAAGTGGATCTCAACAGCGGTGTCACAAGACGACATTGAACCGTGTGCGTTTTCTACTCTTTATTTTTTGTTTCTTTTTAATTTCAATTTTTTATCTCCTTATTTTTTGCTTTCCTTATTTTTCTTTTGGGCTTTTTTTAATTCTGATTTCTTTTTGGTATATTTTTCGTATAGTTTGATTTTTGATTTATTTTATAGTTTAGAATTTTTTTATATAATTAACTTAGCTTAATTTATATATAAAACAATTTCTAAGTATAATGTAATTAATTTATTACGAGTTGTTACATGTATTGAATATAAACTGTATTATATTTATTAAAAATATTTTTTAATATCAAAACGTGTTTTAACGTGTCAAAACCTAACATTTTTTAGAATTAACGTGTCGCCGTGTCGTGTCCCATGTCCCGTGTCCGTGTGTACGTGCAACACGTAACTTAAAACTACCCAAAAAAAAAAAAAAAAAAGGTATTCTTTTTATATAATTCCTCAAACGGGACCTAAAGGTGTGAAAAGTTCACGTCGAAAGGAACGGTCCAGATTAACCATTATTGGAAAATCGAACGACCTAGAGAGGGCTCAGGACGAAGAATGATGTTGGGGGTGTGATTCCCTTATCACAAGTCTAAAGCTATAGTTCAATTCAATCAATCGAGTTGGGATTAGGGTTTCTAATTGGATGGAGATGAACTGTGGTATGGAGTTTTCAATGGATCGACGTCCCCGGAAAAGGGCTAAATTGGCTTGGGATCTTCCTCAAACCCACTCGAAGGTAAAGAGTTATATTTTAGATTCCTTAGATTCTTTTTCAAAAAAAAAAATTATATTTTTTGGGGAAAAATCCACTACGCTTTCAAAATATATATATATATTTTTTTTAGATCTGCCTGTTTTTGATCCTGGAAATAATTCTAAATTTTTTACGGTATTTTTTTTTTCTATAAATTTTTGAAATTTGGTGTGTTTTTTTTAATGGTACACGTTCATGGCAAATTATGATGTATTGGTAATTAGCTGAAAAACTGTTCCTTTTACATTAGATAATGAATTGGCCGTTAATTTTGTTTAATATGTTATTGTGAAACTATTTTGATCCTGAGAAAAGAGTCTTCTTATTATCACTATATCAAAATTACAGTTTGATTCTGAGCATCTAATGGTGGCTTGTAGAATAATTTTATGTCTAAATATTTTTCTGCAGATAGATGTTCATTTCAATGATTTTGAACATCATTAAAAAATTTCTTAAAACCAATGGTTTAGGAAGGGGGGATGTAGTATTTTCAGTTATAGTTTGTTTAGTTTAATATGAGTAAGTGGCTGTGTGTAGGTTCATTCTGGGATGTATTGTGGACAAGAGGTTGCAAATGTGACAAGCATCTTTGGAATGCCGAGGGTACTTCCTGATCATGCTGGTCTTTTTGTAAAGGGAGTGGCTGATAAAGGTTCTCCCCCATGGCGAGATGATGACAAAGATGGACATTACATGTTTGCGCTAGGAGACAATTTAACTTCTCGGTGTAAATGCATTTAACCACCATTGAAGTGCTATTCTCCATTTTGTCTTTCCATTAGACGTGCTTTTGCTGCTTGCTGCACATTCTAAACTTAAACCAATTTATTTATGGGAAATGCATTTGTACAAATGAATAGTTGTTATGTTAAGAAAAAGAAAAATTATATAATATTAAAAAAGTAAGAGGACACATTATTCAATGAATTTAACTTGTCTTTTTCTTAATATAACAACTATTCATTTGTCATGTAACATGACAAATGAATTTCCCTTTATTTATTTATATGATTTAGTTTATCACTTTTCCATCCTTCACTTTTTGGCTTTTAAGACTTTTTTTATGATAATTTTCAAAGTGATGATTGTTATCTTACATATTTATCTCATTTTCTATGAAAGGATAAATTCTTTTACATATATGTTCAAAATGTATGTTTGAAGCTTGGTTAAGTTGTATGATTACTATACCTATTTTTGTCCCAAAAAATTATTACTCTATCTTCTGCAATCTGCATCTCAATTTAAACCTGTTCTTATTTTAATATAAAATTGAAAAGATCTTTCCCTGTGATTTTTCTTCTCATTCTGGCATATTAAAATATTTCTTCAAATGTCCTTGCAAATCTTGAGCAGTAATGTATTTGTTTTGATGTTTAATTTGTATAAAAATTTTAATTACATGTAACCCTAATGTGCCTTTGTTTATATACTTGCAGATAAGATCCTCAGGAAAATTGGTGAAGGTTATTATCATCGTTATCTTGTTAACTTCTTTTAGCATTGTTTTGTTGATAGAATTGCAGTTGTGTCCTTACTTAGACTACCTGTTCTATGTTTGCAGGGACTTTTGGTCAGGTTTTGGAATGTTGGGATAGAGAAATGAGGGAGCTGGTTGCGGTAAAGGTTGTGCGGAGTATTAGGAAATATCGTGAAGCGGCAATGTTAGAAGTTGATGTGCTCCAGTTGCTTGGGAAGTATGACAGGAGTGGCAGCCGGTAAGTCTGTTTTCTTCTATTTTTCTGCATTTAATGTACTACTGGCTATCAATTGAAGTTTGTGCCAGTTGTTAAGTCAATTTATCATTTGCAGCTGTGTTCAAATACGGAATTGGTTTGACTACCGTAACCATATTTGTATTGTGAGTATCTAATTGACATATGATGACATCATTTCCAAACATTTCTGGGGGTTAAGACATGTCAGTGAAATTTTAATGGTCTTAACAGGTATTTGAGATGCTTGGACCAAGCTTATATGATTTTCTACGGAAGAACAATTATTGCCCATTTCCGGTTGATCTTGTCCGTGAGCTAGGCAGACAACTGTTAGAATGTGTAGCATGTGCGTAATTGTTGCTTCCACTCTTTCTTTTCTTTCAAAACTTGGTGGCAAGAGTCATATAAGTGACATTCTTCTCTCTTCTTTAGGGAAGTTATGGTGGTTACTTTGAGGTTTATTCATTAAAATTTTCTTCAACTGTTCACTTCTTTTTCCCAAGAATACTTTTAGAACTCTTTTTCTGATTTACCATTTAAAACCATTATACTTATTGTGAATGGATAGCGGGATCCCACCCCCCCCCCCCCCCCCCCCAACACACACGAGGGAATTGGAAAAGAAGAAGGGAGGATAGTGTTCAATTTGATATAATGCCTACGTTGACTTTGTTGCTAAACTTGTGCAGTCATGCATGATTTGCGCCTCATCCACACTGACTTGAAGCCTGAAAATATACTTTTTATTTCCCCAGAATATGTAAAAGTTCCTGACTCCAACTCCAAGGTATTTCTGCTTTCTTGGTGGTCAATTTTTAGATTATGTTTTACTTTTCTTCAAAAATATATGTTTGTGGTGTAATGATTCTGCTTTACCACGTGTCTAAATTTTTTGCCAAAGCTTTGTCAAATTATCACAAATTCTTAAATTGCAGGTTACATTCCGGTCTCCAAAAGAGGGAACCACTTATAAGAGACTGCCAAAGTCAAGTGCTATTAAGGTTATTGATTTTGGTAGTACAGCCTATGAGCACCAAGATCACAACTATATTGTCTCTACTAGGCATTATCGTGCACCTGAGGTTATTCTTGGTAAGTTTCTATTTCTCTTATATGCCTATGATTTTCATGTTCACATTATATGAAGTTTTGTTCTTGTAATATGGTTAAAATGTAATTGTTGTTTATTTACTTGTTTCTAGGTCTTGGGTGGAATTTTCCTTGTGACATATGGAGTGTTGGCTGCATTTTGGTTGAGTTGTGCTCGGTATGTTGAGGAGCTCCACACGGTCAATCATAAGCTAGAAAATTTTGATCCAAATTTACTAAATAAGCAATGTTTTAAACTGCCCAACTGTTTGCAGGGAGAAGCTTTGTTTCAGACGCATGAGAATTTAGAGCACCTAGCCATGATGGAGAGGGTTTTAGGCCCAATACCTCAGCACATGTTGAAAAGAGCAGAGTGTGTAACATTTCAAATGATTAAATTAGTATTGTTTTTGTTGGTTTATGTTAATGTTTCATATAAACTGGTATTGATGTTCTCTAACTGCTTCTGTCTCTTGCTTCCTTGCACAGCCGGCAAGCACAGAAGTATGTCAGAAGGGGTAGACTGAACTGGCCGGAAGGAGCAGTCTCTCGAGAAAGCATCAAGGCTGTCTTGAAACTACCTCGTCTTCCTGTCTGTAAAAATATTTTATTTTGTCTAGCTCTATTTTCTCTTTTATTTTCCTTTCTCTCTTTTTGTTCTACGTTCTTAGTGTTTCTTGTATTTCCAGAATCTGGTGATGCAGCACGTGGATCACTCTGCTGGGGATCTTCTTGATCTCTTGCAGGGTCTGCTTAGGTTTGACCCCTCAAGTAGGCTGAAGGCTCATGAAGCCCTCAGGCATCCCTTCTTGACTGGGGAACATTACCAAAGATTTTAAGATAGGATCAGTCTACGTTGTCCCGTGAATGGATTAGTCCATTACCACTGATGTTTGCATGGTTGTGGTGTTTTCGGCTATACTGAACTAAAATGTGCTGTAAGGGTTCTCTTTTCGTGGTTTAGTGCCAAGTATAAGAGGGGTTCATTTCCCCTTTTGATTTCCCCAGCGTTTGTAGATAAATTCATTGTCTGGAGGATGTTTATCCGTCTCCAATTTTGTACCATCAAAATGTAATTACTAGCATTTCACTTTTGAAATTATTCGTTACATTTGATTAAGATGGTCACAAAACTATTGGGAGTATTATCCTGAGTATAGTAGACTTTCTATTTTATGAGATATGGTGTCATGGAAGGTGTAAAATGTGATGAAGAGAAATAGAAGCCTAAAAAACACTTGAATTGCTATTATGCCAAAGGAATAAATTACTAGTGCCCAAAAAAGTGAAAACTAAAATTGGTGTAAAGGGAATGAGTTTGACTTGGTGAGGACTTCAAGGATGGTCAATGTAAATGCAAAGAATGATTTAAGACACACACTTGACTGTTTTATTTTAGGGGTTTGGCTACTTTAGTCGTCTTTCTGCATTACAGAGGTAAGGTTTTTACTGCTTTATGTTACTGATTTCACGCGCTTGCAAAGTTCACATTTTTAGCAATTGCTTTTCAACATTGCCGTCTTGATACTTGTTTTCTTGCTGAATGTATATTGGGTGTCAACATATTAAATCAGACCAAATCTTCTTAAATTTCTTGGCGTTCTTAGATCAAACGATCAATTCTTGTTGTTTTAGAATAGAATATTCTATCAGGAAAAATACACATCCTTTTTCGTCATATGATCAATAAGATTCTTGGTAATTCTCTTCCTTAATGTCATAAGTCTTATTCAGCTGGCCTGGCCCAAATAAAACCTCGTAAGGGTCCATTTTTCACTTTGGCCTGTTTTCCACAAGTGATTTCTTATTCATTGCAAAGTTTTTTTCTTTTTAGTTGAAGTATTCAGTGCAAAGTTGCCAACTACCAAATGCTTAAAAATATGAAAAAGAATCTTTTATATATAAAAAAGTTATATCTATATTTTTTTATCCTTTTGTCAAAATTAAATCAACGGTAATAAAATGACATTGAGCGAGAATCCGTGATTTTAAAAGAATATAAAGAAAAAGAGATGGTAAATATAATCTTTCTTAAAAAGAGAGTGCGGACAATATTTTACTTGACTGAAAAAGAAAACATAGTACCCTAAAAGCTTTGAGATTTTAATCTTTTAACTCATTCATAACAGAATATATTATTTAAATTTTATCATGAAACTTGCCAACTAAAAAGTGTTTGAACTTTGAATACCTAAACATTTCTAGAACAATCAACAATTATTTAAATTTGGCTATGCATTAAATAATATAAAATTTATATTTATTTATCACTTTATAATATTCAAACAACATTTAATAATGCATTTATCTTCAAAAATAGCTTATATTCAAAATTATATTTAAATATACGTACATTACCCAATGCCTAACTATGACTTCATGAATGCATGGTACATGGACAGCATGGTGCCTTGTTTTTTTTTTTTTTCTCTCTGTAAGAAAATAAAAATAAAAACTTGGGAGTGGACAAACCTGGGGTGGTTGTAAGGATGTAATAGTAATAGGATCCGATCATGTAATGACGTGTTTACGAAGATAATTCTAAGGCGGCTAGCTTGGACAAGTCTTCCTTCTGGACCACTATGTTACGCAATTGGCTGCTTCTTCCATCGCCACCTTTTTTTGACCCTTTGCTACTAAATTCATTTCTTTTCATTTACTATTCCGTAATACAGTTAACAATTTCCCTTTTGTATAATATTGTTCTTTCCCTTAACCAAAAAAATTCTCTGTCACCACCCTCCTTTCTTTGACCTGCACAACATAAACGACCTTATGTTATATATACATAAAACTGAGTCTAAATTAAAAAGATTAAGCTGTATATATATCTACATAAAATATTATTACTGAATTTTGTTTTGACATTTTGCCTACAAACTACAATGTGCATGCAGCATGCTATGCTTTAAGATAGAATAAGCTATGTCCTTTATTTTCTTTAGAGCAAGAGTTATATTTACAAAAACTTTTGTCTACAAATTATAAATAGTACATATTACTTGAGCATGTATTACTCATAGTATATAGTATAATTTATAAAAATTTGTAAGCAAAAAGCTTGAAAATATAACCTACCGTCTTTTCTTTAAACCAAAAACAAGAAATTAACGACTAAGTACCACTAGTATTAGGGTAGTTTTAGTCTATAACGTACTATTTTATTTTGTTGAATTTTGTGCTATTGATAATGTATTAGTGTACTGTGTAAGAGTATATAGTATAAAGTACAGGGAAGCAGTGTAGAGGTGCAACTTGGTTTGAGATTGTGGCTTTCATTGACTAAAAAGGGTCGATGTAGAGACTAGACAATAGAGACGGTGGACATATACGCGTAACTTATCGAGACTGCAAGGGCCAAGAGCGACAGTGTCAGTGTCCAATGGAAAACCTGTGAATCATGTCTTGTTTTCCATCTAGTTGCCTTTTGAGAGATAAGTTCTGTTTTCACGTTTAATTCTTAAGATTTGATCTCTTTGTCATGGTAATCAGTATAGTGGTTAGCTATCATTTAAACCCTCAAATAACTATTTTCATTAATAATTTGTTTTACTATACGTAAAAAATAGTATAAATATAATGTAGATAATTTATCTACAGTGAACTTAAAACGACGTTATTTTGAGGCAAAAATCAAGGTATTTTTGTAATTATAATTTATTTCAGGGTTATAATAGTCTTTTTCTGTTGAGATGTACAGTCCCACATTGGTTGTATGTGCAACTAATGTGGAGTTTATAAGGTCTTGGGAACTCCCACCCTTAGAGCTAGCTTTTGGAGTGGTGTATCTCAAGGTTCTTTACATGGTATCAGAGCCTCTTGCCGTCCCCCACTTTCTCTTGTGAAATTTCTTAACACAGGTAGGTTGGGCCTGTTGCATCATTCACTCTTCAAGCCCAATGGGCTCTCGTGTGAGAGGGCGTGTTGAGATATATAGTCTCACATTGGTTGTATGTGCAACTAATGTGGAGTTTATAAGGTCTTGGGCACTCTCACCCTTAGAGCTAGCTTTTGGGTGGTGTATCTCAAGGTTCTTTACATTTTCATTATAATTTTTTAATTTTTCAACTCAAAACAACGTAGTTTTATAAGGAGCAAATATAGATAACTTATCAATATTTAGAGCTAGCTTTTGGGGTGGTGTATCTCAAGGTTCTTTACATTTTCATTATAATTTTTTAATTTTTCAACTCAAAACAACGTAGTTTTATAAGGAGCAAATATAGATAACTTATCAATATTCACTTTAGAAATATTAAAGCCATAAATAAATTTAGAGTTTATCAAGTATCATGTTGCATAACCAGAAATCAAATTCCTATTGACCCGTCGATTTGTGTGTAAGTTCTTCTTTTTTCTTCTTTTCTAAAACATGTGGGCCCACATCTTAGTTTGTGTCTATGGCGTTACTTAATGAGTTTTCTGTAACGTAATATTTGTATTTCTCATAAATTAAACTACTTGTCAATTATTCAATTTGACTAGTTAAATGTTTAATCAAAATTGTTGATTTAATTAAATAAGTAATTTTAAACTTGAATCTATATTTGATTATATAAAGTATAAACCAGTTAAGTTAAAATTTTATTGTTTAGTTTTAGGATTATCTTGATGATGGAACAAGAAGATGACGAATGTTAGCCATATGGGAAATAGTACGTTAATATAACAGTAATTCAAGGGAGCTAAGGTATGGGGAAACTAGTGCTTTAAAAGAGGTCTGGGTATGCTGCAACTCAGTAAATTACTGAGCTCAAGAGGTGGAAGGTGTGTGTGTTTAGGATAATGGAGAGAGAGAGTAACGACTAGGTGAAATGGATATTTTGAGATTCCCTCTCCAATATAAAGAGGCTTCTCAATCTCCAATAGCTTGTGGGGATTGATTCCTTAATCTATGTTCCTTGTGAGTAACAACGCTACCAAAGTCATTAGACACTCATGATTCTCTGCTAACTGTCATACTTGGTGGATTCATCCGTAATTTGTGTAGTGTTTGTGCTGATAGAATTTGACATAAAAAAATTTATGTTCTTGTCGCGTGTCAATATGTAAACATGAAATTAAATTGTATTAATCTTTTTATAGGTTATTTTTATCATATTATTTCGAGTCAACTCGCATAATAAACAACACACTTTGAGGTTGTTGGATTATTTGTCTTGTAACGTGTCAACTTTCAAAATAAGTGAAATGTTTTGGTGTCAAAAAATTTGATCTATTTTCAATTTCGTGTTAAGTATATTTATGTTCGTATAAATATCACGTGCTATCAAGGCTAATTGTCACCCAATGTGTAAATATATTCAATGAGGAAACTGTAATATTAGATGAGAAAATGCATGGATGATAATAATTTAGACATTGTTATTACTTAATAAACATATAGCAACTTTATCTAAAAAATTGTACTTTTGTTTATTATTATCTACTATTTACTTAACTTCAATTTTCAAAGAGTCTTTTATTTTCATTTTTTTAGTATAATAATATCTATTAAATGTTAAACTATTAAACTTAAAATATTTAAAAAAAATTAAAAAAAATTAAACAAATTAAGCTCAAGTATTATATTTTTAAATAAATCAATTCTAGATTTTAAATTTAGATTTTTTGAATAAATAACACAAAGTTTTATTTTTATTTTTCACGACACTAAGTTTAAACTTTAAATATCAATTTGATTATGCCCTTATCATTAAATGATTCGGCAAATCGGCTTCAATATTTGAAGCTATTAATACAAAAAGGTAAGATATTCTTATTACAAAATATTTTTATTATCAATCCATTATGAATCTAATATAATTATATATTACTGATAGTATACCAAAAATTATTTTTTTACTGTCTTTTCAAAAAATATTTGTTGAAAAAATGGGATCACGGCTTAAAAAATGGTAATAGATCAGTAACAGAAAAAATATCCTACCTCTAAGGCTCTAGGGGGTGTTTGTTTCAAGAGTTTTTTCTAGTTTCTTAGCTAAGTGAAGAAGGCAATATCAATTCCCCATGTTTGGTTAACAGATGTGATGAATTTTACCCATCTAACTCACTTACCTATCAATCACAATTGCATGTAAAAATACACAAAAACACTGTTGCAGAAAGTATCTCATGAGGTGGTATTTCTATGAGAAAACCGATTAAGTTAGGCTGTCCAAGTCGTTTAGAGCTTTTAGTAAATCATTTAGGTGGCATTCCCATCAATATTTTATCTTTAACTAAACACATATTCAGGAATTTTATTCAATTTTCCAGGTAAAATTTTGCCTAACCAAATAACTTTTTTAAAACTTTCATATCTAACTCACTTTTCCTACAAATCCCTAGTATTTACATTTCTCTAATAAAAAAAATTTCACCTCAACCAAACACCTCTAATACAAAAGTAAAGTGGCCTAATAACTCTGGCAGAGAAACCAATTCGACTTCTGTATCCAAAACATTTCAAAATGGAACAATTATATATCCAATTATTGAGCAGCCATTTGGATAATCAAATTTACTCCGCAAAGTTTGAACATGGCCTTACCTTAATCAAATTTTATTTTGTTTTATAATCTTTATGATCTGCATAAAAAATCTAGGATAAATTTTCTTTTTAAAACTGTATAATAAAAAATTAATGAGATTAAATTGCCGCCGTAAAAGTGCCGATGATGACGTGGCACTTTGACGCATTCCCTCCTCGTGGTCCAAGTGTAAGACTAGGACTCTACATAGTGAGAATTTCTTAGGTGGCAAACTCTAAGGTTTCGGGGGGTCCAAGGAACCAAAATATAACTACCGAGACATTGCCATATACAACACGCTCTTTGCTCTGTTCTGTTCTGTTTCTGTTGTGATGGACATGGTTGTTGGATTGCATAGGAACATGATCCTAAATCTCGTCAAGTTTTCATTTCTTAACTATTCGTTCTTCCCTCACTACAGGTCAGCGAGATCTCCCATTCTATTTCTGTGTATTCTTCTTTGAAAATTTCCTATTCCCTTTAACTTTTTTATCAACAATTGTATGTACCTAAGAAAGAGTCAAGAGTCAGAGACAGAGACAGGGTCAAGTGTTTTAGGTGGGAATATGGAATACAAGGGGTAGTAGACTCAAAACTGCAAATACCTTCCCCATTCACGACGCTTTCGAAATTCGAACCCCCTTTTTGTTTCTCTGTGTACTCAAGAGTGAGTAACAATGCTTTGATTGATGGGGTTGGATCAAATTTTTGTCTTTTTCATCACATAGCATACCCTTTTTGGAGATATGTTAGGGGAAGAAGGGAAGAAGGACAAGCCCTCCGGTTGGAGAACATATTCTCGTTCAGTTTCGTGGACTGACCGGTCTCCGGTTAACCGTAAACCACCGGCAACTGCAAATAGCAAACCAAGATCATTGTTGCCACCCCTTCAGCCTCTCTCAATCAACAAGCGTAGTGTGGAGGAATGGCCTAGTGCTGGATCTGATGATCTTGGAGTTTGGCCCCTTCCACAAACTCCAAGAGGGTCCATCAGAGCCTATGATTCAAGTCAACCCACCAAGGATTTTCAGTTCAAGAGGGACAAATTGGCCTTCTTTGATAAAGAGTGTTCCAGAATTGCTGAGCATATATACTTGGGGAGTGATACAGTGGCCAAGAATCATGAACTTCTGAGACAAAATGGAATAACTCACGTGCTCAACTGTGTTGGGTTTGTTTGTCCTGAGTATTTCAAAAGAGATTTTGTGTACAAGACACTTTGGTTGCAGGATAGTCCAACGGAGGATATCACGAGTATTCTATATGATGTGTTTGATTACTTTGAAGATGTTCGAGAGCAAGGTGGTCGTGTCCTTGTCCATTGTTGTCAAGGGGTTTCTCGATCAACAGCTCTTGTAATTGCTTATCTCATGTGGAGGGAGGGACAAAGCTTTGAAGATGCTTTTCAGTTTGTGAAGACTGCGAGGGCAGTGACAAATCCAAACATGGGTTTTGCTTGTCAACTTTTGCAGTGTCAGAAACGGGTACATGCTATGCCTGCTAGTCCTAATTCTATTCTTAGGATGTACCGTATGGCTCCTCACTCACCCTATGACCCTCTTCATCTGGTTCCTAAAATGGTAAACCAGCCATGTGCACAAGCACTTGATTCTCGTGGGGCTTTCATTATCCATGTTCCTTCTGCTATTTATGTATGGAATGGAAAGCATTGTAACTCGGTGATGTCATGCAATGCAAGGGGTGCAGCTTTTCAGGTCATCCGTTATGAGAGGGCAAAGGGTCCAATTTTGAGCATCCACGAAGATGAGGAACCACCAGGGTTTTGGATTGCTCTTTCTGATGAGCAACGCTTATCAAGTAATTCTAACAAAGAAGGGGTCATGGAGGAACCAGTGTTGTTGTTGCCTTCTGAAAACATGGAGATTTCTGATGCAGTTATGGAGATTAGTCCAAGAAAAATTGATGCATATGATTTGGATTTTGAGATTTTCGACAAGGCACTTGATGGTGGGGTTGTTCCACCTTGTTCTGTATCTAATGCGGAATCAGAAACTTGCCTTCCTGCTAGAGAACATGGTTGGGGAAGACTGAGGAGGAAGTTTGCTAGTGGTGGCATGAAAAGATTGCTTGCATCTCCCAAATGGAAATGTGGTGCAACCTCATGCAATGATCAATCCAGTGTAATTTTGGAAGAAGAGAACCAACATTCTGTAACTGATACTTTGTCACCATCATTCAATCATCCCTGTGGTTCACCTGATTCCTTTGAATGTTCTCCAAATAACAGCTTAGGCAGGGTAAAAGATACTCTTGCTTCATCATTGCCACCATCTCCTCTTGGCACATTAAATCCTTTTCCTCGTTTTCTATGCAGCAACAATTCAAAATTCAATTGCAAGTCACCAACACTTTCACCTTCAAGTTCTGATTACACAAGTTCATTTACATTTTCACCTTCCTCTACCAATTGGTCCGACTTGTCATTTGTGTCTTCTCGGCAGCCATCACCATCTGGCCTGGAATCAACTGAACCCTTTTATGTTAAAGATGCATCTTTCTCAGAAGGTTCCTCTTTAGTTGAAAAAGAAGTTGTCTCTTCACCTTCAGAGACATTTTCAGTTAATCACACCTTGGGAGGTGCAAACTCCTATTTGCCATTGAAAGGGTCTTCTCTCTCCATTGCAGAGCGCAGAGGGAGTTATCTACCACCTCGGATGTTGTTATCCTCTGTCAATGAATCCTCTCACGTACACAAGAACCTGGTAAGATCACAGTCATTCTCTTTGCCTGACTTAGATGATAATGTGATGAGGGATGATAGTTGCAAACAATCTGAACATGAAAACAATGGGAAATAGCTAATATCAGATCATGATATCATTAGTTCAGGTGTTGAACCAAAGAGTGATATTAATGACAAAGAGAATCATGGTACTATGTTATCATGTTATGTATTATGATGGCTGAGCTTGACCTAGAGGAGAAAGTTGGCCCGAATCTTCTAATTTTTGGATGTGAAGAATTTGCATTCACGCTATCAAACTATTTGGTGCATGTCCAATACAGATTACATGCACGCCGTGCACAAATTGCACTTGAAAGTACATAACAATTATTAAATTTAAGTGAACATGTAATATATCTTTCTCTTACCGCTTTAGCTGTTTTTCTCGTTCTTGTTTGTTTAGGCCACCAGTCCAATATGAAGGTATTAGACTATTAGTTAACATCATTCGTTATTAGTTACTGCTTCCTTTATTAAGCAAAATGAAGTTTCAAAACCAATATTTCATTTGATTGATGGAGCTCAGGTTTTATTCAACCTGTATGGTAGTCACTGTCAACTACAATACATTTTTTTTGGGGTGGTACACTACATACAATACGATTTACCAACAAATATAAAATTTAAACAGTAAATTTTGTGAAAGGTAGCATTTATATATATCAATCATAATTTTCATTTTTGCACATGGGATGGGGGCAATCGTGTCCCAAATTTTGTCTAGCAGTTGATTCAATTTTCTGTTTGGTTTTCAGGAGGACTGCACCTAATAACATCCGAAAGATGGATTATAAGATTAAGCCTCCAAATATTTTGCCCACTAATATATATAGTGAAATCAGGACACGCAGCATGTACTGCATATGGTAATGTTGGTAATTTGTTCATTTATACCAAAATACATGTAATCTGCGGAAAAGGGACAAAGCAGATATGGCCCGCGTATAGTTTGTTTCTTAAAGTCCATTCTTCGACCTTAAAAATGCCATTGTGGGACCCAGCGCACTGCATCTCAAGGCTCTGTTGGACCATGACCGCGTGCCTGAACTCTGTTCTTTACTCCAGCCATCCTCCTGCGACAGCTTGGCCTTCTTTGCTTTTAATGCCTCGTTAATTTCATCCCACACGTTTACTTCCCCATTTTCTGTAAAGAGATCCACACGTAAGTTTAGAGCATCAAGGTGTTTTCATGTTTCTATATATCATACCCTCTTAAGAATTGTAAAATGTACATTACCAAGGTGTTTTCATGTTTCTATGCACCATACACTATTTAAGAATCGTAAAATGTACATTACCTTTTGTATGGATATGACCTTCCCTTTCTGGCATGCAACTTCCATCAGTGCTACCGTTATTTGCTTTTGTTGGATTGACCAAATCATCACTAGAAACAACTACAGTTGCCAAATCAGAGCGGCCATGCTTAACCATTCGAACATCAGCAAGCGATACATAATCTATCTGTAGAAGGAAAAATTTGGTCATTTAATAAGCAGCAGCAGCAGCATGTTTGTTTTGTTAGAAAGGCAAGCTTTTTGGACATTCATTTTCAATAACATTTTTATGCTATGCCAGTATGCCACAATAGATATAAAGATAAAATTAAATGCACTGGCACAAAATGTTCATCCCCAAAAAGTGCAATATGCACCCGCATGATTAACATAAACCAGGCACCTCTAGTATATTGTAATTGTTAACCATAGTGGACATGTAACTCAAATCAGCTTTAATGGTTAATATTGAGAATTTGCTTGCTACATTCGAAGAATTCACATGCCAATTTGACAGATTTGGTCTAGATATCCTTCAAAATGCAGATATTTTTGGATAGATATGATTTATATTTAATTTGTGCACTGGACCAATATGCGGTTAGTTTGGGGGGTGGGGGGACTGCTTGGTAGGATTCAAATTTAAAAATACCAAATCCCCGTGTCAATTTTTGTTGGTCTAGAGCACACAAATTGCATTGTACGTCATGTTTACTCAAGAACTTCCCCAACTACATAAGCTATAATGCAAAATGAGGTGTAGAAAAAAATCAAAATGGAATAACTTTACCTCTAATGAACCATCTTCTTGATAAGGGGATGGATCAGACTGTAGAGAAGATGTGTCCCCATCTATTTTCTTCTCAAAAACAAATGGATATTCTAAAACTGGTTCCAGCCAAATCCTGTTTGATTTAGCATCATACTGCGATATTTTCCCAACCTGCAAGGACATGAATGCAGTAACATGATAAAATTCTGATGCAAAGAATTTTGAATAATATATTCCAAAAGTAGACTTGATATGTACTCTGAAGGAGGAAAGCTCAGGAGTCCAAGATGTTGATAATTCAATCAACCGGTAGGCAATTACATCACCTTCCTGCAGTATATGAAGTTATTTAGTACACCAACAGAGTATAACGCAACAGAATGTACAGATTCATAGCACAGAATAAAAATATGAATTTGAACGGAATAATCAAAAAATAGCTGAAAAGACTCCTAATATATTGCTTAGCAGGATGAGACATTCCACAAGGACACACTTGGTAGAAGGAAAGAAAAAACCTTAGGCAAGCTTGTATAAGGAGTAAGCTTATCAAAATCTGCTGCATTGAGTGCATGTTTCTTTTCAGCATTCTGAACAGTAGGACACTCTTGACTGGAATGTTCATAGTCATCCTGTTTACGGAATGAGTTCCTCTCTTTACCCCATTTCTGGCCCTTCTTCTTGCTGGTGATTCCATTCCACTGAAATGTTTCCTGAACCATCCAGATAACAGTTACACGTCAATTGAAATATTGTGATCAAATGGCAACATACCTCCTGATACTCAAACACCAAAACGATGAATCCTTGCCTTCTGCAAGGTTTTGACCTTATTACAAACTGACATGGAATAACCATTGTGCACCAGACTTCTTGAGTAAATAATAAACATAGTAAGTTATTCTACTTTGAACAATTCTGAGCCCTTGAGTGAGAATCAAGATATGGATTACATTAACTGTTAAAAAGGAACCAAAGCTAGTGCTAAAAAAATGATATTAAGCAACAGTTTAATTCCTTCCAAAGTATCTCCCAAGAAAATCCTAAAGAATTTTGTTAGCTCCCTCCGCATCTCACTGTTAACCATCGTATACCTAAAAAAAATTTGTACTATTAATTCACAAATCACTTCTCACTGGAACATTCTTTATCCTCCATCAAGCCCTATAGTCTAAAAACCCAAATACAAAGTAACAAAAGAAGTTCAGATGCAAAAAAATAATATTTAATACGATTTTGTGCAAAATTAATGATATATTTGATATTGACTCTTTATGATGGTAAGTAAAACACAGCCAAAATTGTAAATCTTATAGAAGAAAATAAAACAAACCACTGGAAACTGATTCTGTGGAACTGTCTGATCTGCATGAAATAGACCAGGAACTTATATCAGATCAAGAAAGTAATTCTAAAGCCAAAAACCACTACCGCTACTATAATCTTTTTAGCAGAGAGGGAGAATTAAAACCTTTTCTACGGGGCTCAAACCGAATGTGCCCTGGCCTAATTTCCACAGGAACAACATCATCCTCTTCTTCACTTTCTTCATCGGGTTGTTCATGTACATCAGAAACTATGCAATTGTTATCTTTGATAGGTAAATGTTGTCCATCTTTTTTAAGCCCTGGAACAATGTCATCCTCTTCTTCACTTTCTTCATCAGGTTGTTGATGTACATCAGAAACTAAGCTATTTTTATCTTTGATAGGTAATTGTTGTCCATCCTTTTCAAGCATTGGACTCGTATGGAACTGAAAATTTGGAGAAAAGAACAATTCCATTCAAAAAGAATGATTAAATACATTTTGAAAATAGTAACCTTAGACAAGTGACCTCCAAGAAAACTTAAGTATTAATTCTAAGGGCAAACCCCGGTACACAAAGGCTTCCCGACTTTGCAAAGGTAGGGGTGAGGGTCAATTATAAATTTGCAATATTATGAATTGGGCATCTTACCAACCAGACTATAAGTCTGTAAGACTATCACTCAACAAGTCAACAACACCATATACAGCAAGTCAGCAAGTAAATTGCCAGTCATAAGTGGCATCGAGATTAACTCATTTCCTTATCTCCATATATAATGTGAATAACATTTGCAGTAACATTATGAGACCAGATTACCTTCTCCTTCTCTAATTTTAGTTCCCTCAACCATCTTCTCTTATCTTTCCTCCGTCGGGCACTTCTGCTTGGTAACTGGAAAAATAAAATAAAATCAATAAAATTAAAGTGTAAAAATTTGAAACCCCCTACTTCTGCGAAGAGCAGGACTGGCAAAGTATTGAAAAAGAATAAAGTGATCAAGTGATATGAAGTATCCAGGAAGATGATCCATAAAAGGGGAAATTCCTACATCATTGGGCACCAACTTATCTCCAAGTGCTACAGTATATTTGCTTGAACTAAATATGAAAGACAAGCTGCTTTTACTAATCTGAGGAGAGTAGTACTTTATTAACTATAAACTCAAATTGGTCCTCCAAAGATACATGAGACATCGAGTTGGTCCTCCAAAGATATTAGATATTAATTTGGTCCTTGAATGTTTAAAATGGACATCAATTTACTCCCTCAATATATCTTTGGACATTAATTTAATCCCTAAATTGATGCTTAGTGGAGAACTAACTTTGATGTCCCATGTATCTTTGGAGGCCTATTTTGAGTATTTACTCTATTTTATACCAGCCCTGTCAATCAAGGCAATATGATGGCAACTAAATCTTCGGTCACATCAAGTCCAATTAAAATTGTCCCATGTGAAGGCCTATCCTAGAACAACTTCATTTAACCTTTTTGGGGAAGGAAGGGGGACAAGAGAAAACAACAGCCATGAAAACCTACATCCAGCAGTAGTTTACATCTTGACTTTAAGAAATTATATATGTTTGACTCACTAAACTAACCTATCTCGGTGTTGACGAGCACAAACAATACAGCTTAAATTGAAAACATTCTATATATGTTCACAAATGAGCCTTATCAATTTTGTAATAAAAGTCAAAATGAGAAAGGGTTATCATGACAATATGGAATTTTGTTGTCTTATAAGTCCAAACAAGAACTATATTTGTACTCAAAACAGTGAGGCTCTAAACATTACCTTTTTAGTTCCACCTTCATCTTGAGGCTGAAGAAACCTATACAACATATAAGAGAAAAGTAAGAAAAAAATATATATTCTGCTTCTGAAATACTGGAAACCAACATCCTCTTTGTAGGTGGACAAGGGTTTAAAATTAGATGAACAGAAAGGATTCAATAGGAGGAATCAAGGAATCAAACAGCCCAAGGCATATCCTTTCCTACTTAATCAAAGCACATCTCTTAATCTACAAAGATATACAGATAAACCAGAAATGTCCAAAATAAAAGGTCAGCATAGTTCATGAAATTTTATCAGCTAATTGTCTTGTCCCCAGAGGAGAAAGAACCAAATATACACTGCAATGCACAATTAGATCAGAAAAAACAACACCATTTAAGTATCACATAAATCACCAATCACAAATGTTATGAAAATGCACCTTGTTTCATCACTTGTAGAGCCACTTTTGTCATTCATCTGTTTATTGAAATTATCCTTGCCAGACTTATTTGGCTGACTAGATAAATTGGATGACTTGCCATTGTTCTTCTTGACAAGACTCGATTCGTGATGGATACTGCCTTGAAAGCTTTCATTTTCCTCCTCATGGACCTCAGGAATGACTGCCAAGTTTTCGGTAGTAGACAACTTAATCTTCTTCTGACTGAATAGAAAAAGAATGGAATCAAGTTAACAACCCAAAGAATGTTTACATGCTCCAATAAGTCAATAACTGCTTCCAAAGTTCCAAACAAGGAAAAAAAAAAGTTTTGAACAGAAATGGGAGATCCCTAGATAATTATACACTTGAAAGTTGAAAGTAAAACAAAATTAAGATAAGAGCAGAAAGAATAATGCCTACTGCACAACTTATCCCATCAGACAGAGATTTTCCAAAATAAGTTACAAAGACAGAAAAGCATCCTCAGAAAATTTACTACAACAAAACTAGATTCTTAAAAAAACTCAGAAGAGAAAAACACCCCTTTAACAATGCCGAAACTCTTGCAAGTCTGTAGGCTTGGTTTCACTAACAATTAAAAAGTTTGAGGAAACAAACCTAGGGCTCTTGAGCTTCTTTGATGCTTTTCTTTTCTTTGAGATGGGCTTCCCATCCGATTTAGATTCCACATAAACTGCATCTTCCAGTTGGTCATTATTGTCCTCTTGGGACATGGTTTCATATCCTCCACTCTCCTCTTGAAACCCCTCAATTGCAAGAAGTTTCGGAAGCTCAATAGATCTCTGCCCACGTGTTTCAGATGGCAGCATTGCAGGTTTATCATAAGCTAATATGCTTCCTTTTCTTCTCACACTATCATAATTATGCATATGATACAGTAAGTAAAAACAATAACGACAGCAACATAGAATGTGAGAGAAAAATTCAACCATAAACTCACCAGACAATGTCTTTATCCTTCAAAATACGAGTTGACTCAAAGGATGGTAAAACAAAACCATCCATCTGCATTAAAAAAAAAAAAAAAAAAAAAATTCAATCGCTGAAGTGTTGTGTTCAATAACTCAGTTAAACCGATTGAATCAACAAATCAAGGAATGCGAAAATGTCATGCAATACCAATAGGATGATGCCATGTGGACAGGTACGGTGGAGGCGGAAAGTGTTTTGTAGATGAGAAGCTACATCGGATATGGTGTTGAGTTGGGGTTTTAGCAGAAACCAGCTACGCTTCAGCCCTTCCTTCTTCTTTGACTTGCTCAACATGCGACGCTCCTCGAACACCACACGAAGTCTAATCGTCTCTGCCATCGTCGTCAATGCCGAAACTGCTGTCACGGCGTTTTCCGGCCACCGCTTCTCGCTCGCTCGCTCTCTTAAACCCTTTCTAAGCCTATAAATTAGATGGCTGCAATATATGAAGTTTTAACTAAATATTTTAAAAAAAAAAATTAAAAAAATAAATATTTTATTTTTTAAAAACAATCGTGTATCAAGCATATTATTAAAAAGCAGATATCCTTAGGACCAATTAAATTTATCACTTTTCACCAAAAAAAAAAAAAAATTATCACTTCTTATCATCAAATTTTAACTATTAATTTCTGTTAATCTGACAGTTATAATTTAATAAAAATTAATATTTAATTAATAAATATCATCCAATAAAATATAACCGTTAGATTGACGGAAATCAATAGTTAAGATTTGGTAGTAAGAAGTGGTAAACTTAATTGGTGATAAATGGATCCCTCCCCATATTTTTATGTGTATAAGAGAAAAAATTATCACTATTTTTTTTATAGTTTATAGGTATACTCCACAAGAGGAAATTTTGTTCGTAATTGTTTTTTTATAATAGAAAATAGTTGCTTAAAATGATAATTTAAACTCTACAAGAAACACCTTTTTTGCTCTCTCTCTTTTTTTTTTTTTTGGTACATTGCTAGGAGGTATCCTCATTCAACCTTCTCTGGGCACCATGCTCGTTTGGGGTAGCCCCTCATTGTAACAGTGGGTGCACTAAGCTTCGCAACCGGAGAAAGGACGAGACTAATCCCCAACTGAAGATTTTTTGGCTTATCCTCTGGCCCCCAAAGATTTTCCAAGAAACTACTTGAGGCAGGGTTTGATCCCTGCACCAAGCAATCCCTTTGAAGCTCAGCTGCCAACTGAGCTACCCTTGGGGTTCCTTTTTTGCTCTTTTTTCTCTTATATTATCTTGCAATTTTATTTGGTAGAGGTTATACTTACTATCTCTGTAACATCACTTGCAGTTAACTTTTGTAAGGAATATTACATGATTTCTTATAAATATATGTTTTTGCTTTAGAGTTTTATAAGAGTTATATTGTAGGAAAAGTGATTGTGTTATGTTATAGAGATTCGTTTTGCGTGCCGAAGTGTTTTTTTTTGCTGCGGGCCCCACAAAATGTTATGTGTGTAGGAAACTTTTTGTGGTCATGTTAAATGATAGATGATAAACCCTTTTGCTTTATGCATCGTCAGTGAGAAATAAGATGGAAAGGAGTTAATGTTATTAATTAGGGAAAAGTTCACCAATGCCCCTATGATTTGCTTCAGAATCATTTATGCCCCTGTGGTTTTTTTCCTATCACATATGCCCCTGTGCTTTGTAAAAGATAAGAAACCACAAGGGTATATGTGATAAAAAAACATACCCTTTTACAAACCACAGGGGCATATGTGATAGAAAAAAAATCACAGGGGTATAAATGATTCTGAAGTAAACTACAGGGACATCGGTGAACTTTTTCCTATTAATTAATACATATTGATGATAATAACAGTAAAGAAAATTATATAAACATCTACCAACATTACTTTATAGGCAAAGTTAAGTCAGATAGTTACATACGGAAACTATTTTACATAGGTCCTAAGTCTACTAAATATTACATCACTTCAGTTTATATTTTACATCACATAATTATACAATACAAAAGTCTTATCCTAATCTAGCCTATAGGTGTAGGTCTCCACGCTACCAGCATAGAATATGGAAGCAGCTCCTTGATTTCCTACTACGATATAAAACTCCATGTGGTCCTCATAAAAGTAAATATTGATACTCCATCCTTCACCTGATAAACTAAGACTAGGCATTATGATTTTCTGGAAAGGTTAGCACACAACAAACACACGTGAGAAAATTCTTATTAATATTGAAGTTTTCTAACTATAACCATTTCCAGCCGTAATAACGGAAAATACCATTCTCTCAGATAATTTAATAAAATGAAATAATATAATAAATAATACATTGTGTAATATTTAACTGAAGTTAAATAATTTTTCAACTTTGTGGTCTTCTGCATATGAAAGATTTATTGTGGAGGAGCTCAAATCACGATAAGGCATCCCTTACCTTATAATCGTCTGAACCCAAACTCTGTGGTTCAGTTCATAGCAATCTTCATCAGTTAAATTTACATATTTTCTTCATAATTATTTGGTACCAAACAATTCGTCAATATGATAATCAGTTGTTGTAAAGAAATAAAATTTAAAAGAAAAACAATATACTGCAAAAGAATAAAAATCAAAGAATAAACTCAACAGAAAACATATAAAGAAAAGAGTTCGGTAAGATGACAAAGATATTAAACTTAAACATCGTTTTCCTAAAATGATTGAAAAGAATACGAGAGAATGTTTTTTAAACCTCTCAATATTACCTTCTACTCCGTTACTGCCTCGTCGCTTTCCTTCTTTCTTTTTCTGTTGATTTCTCTTTCTCTCTTTCTCTTTCTCTTTTCGTTGGCCTTTCTTTTTTTTTCTTTTCTTCTTCGACTATATATATATATATATATATATATATATATATATATATATATATATATAAGACTGCTTACGTTCTAGTTTGATTCGAACAAACTAGTAAAATCGTAAATAAGTAATTATTGCTATTGAGATAATAACTATCCACGTTAACAGTTTCTAGAAAAATTTCGTAAACCGTCCTCAAGTACCTCCACGTTTACATAATACGTTTTATTTAGTTTCTGTAATATATTTATACGTATTTTTACTTTTTAATCAATTATTATATTATTATTTTCTTATTATTTATTTTATTATTAACATATTATAATTTACATACATTTATCTTAATATTTAATTACTTATTTTTATTATTAGTTATTATTATTATTATTTTATATACGTAAGCATATATATATATAAATACGTCCATGCTTTTTGCGCCAAGTTTATTAGAGTGTTGGCGCCGTGTCCACTCTATTTGCGCGAGAATTGGCGCTAAAGGTGCCACTATTGGCGCAAAAGGCGCCACTTTGCGTCAATTTTTTTTTTTTTTTGAATATTACAATCTCTTACTACCAAATTTTAATTGTTAATTTCTGTCAATCTAACGGTTATAATTTATTATTATATACAACAATAACTATCGAATTTATAATTATACATTCTCTATTTAATTTTATTATTATATTTATTATACATTTTTAACATATTTATTTATGTTATTATATGAGTTTAATGTTCTGATATAAATAAAATATAATTTTATCTCATGCAAATATCTGAAAATAGGTGGACCATATATTTTTTTTTGTATACCAAAAAATTTAAGTGGGGTTAGATACCGGTATCCCACTAGGGTCAGTGAAAGGTGGACCATATTTTCTTTCTTTCTTTCTATTCCTTTCATGGGTCTCGTTACTTTTTTATCTGTGCAAAAAATAAAAATAAAAATCCTAATAAAACTACCCAGAACTAGTTTGTTAACCTTACGTATGACATTAAGCGCACAGTTACAATCACAATAATTGAATTATAATACGGATAAATATTTTCCTTTTTCGTTAATAAACGTTTCTGTTTAAAATCAATTCTGTAATTAAAACAATTCCAAAAACTACAATCTTAACTTAAATAATATGCGGAACACTTAAAGTTAATTTAACCATGCCATACATTGCTCCCCTCGAGTGCCAATTAGTCCCTTAGACCAACTTAAAAATATATTTTTATTAATATTTAACACTAAACACCTTCATTTTTTGTTACTCATGGAATTCTATACTTCCTCTGTGATATAGATCTCTTCGTTAGTTACGCGTGGATTCAAACCACGCTCAATTTGGAGCACCATAGCTCAAGTTATGAATTTTTGAAGAAAAAGATATTGAATTTCGCAGGGTCCAGCACTAATAGCGCCACAACTCAGATTCCCCCCAATATTATCCATGGTTTGGTGGCGCTAATTGCGCCATCTTGGTGCCAATAGCGTCACGGGTTCGGAGATTACACTTTACTTTAGTATTTCACTCATAACTTGAGTTATACTTATTCGATTTACTCAATCTTGGTCTCGTTGGAAAGCTAAGAAAAAGATCTATAACTTACAAGAATATAAAAGGAGCCAAATCTGTCATATAATATATGAAAAATGGACAACAAGACATGATGTCTTTGTATTTACATTGATTCCTAACCTAAATGTCTTTTTTCACCTAATTGGCATTGTATCACTACTACAAGACATAATCCTTGTAATTTTAAGGTGCACATTTATCACGATAGGCATCCATGTCCTTCCATCATATAAACAATAAGTACAATATTACACAATCTCCAAATTCTTTAATACTTAACCATGAGACTTAGCTATAAAACACTATGATCAAATCTTTGGCTCCCATCAACAACAAGAGACACCAAAAGAGGTGAGCATAGGCCAAGTCCACCAAAATAAAGCATGATGTATATATATCAAATGGCTATCAAATATAAATTCTACACATAGGAACTACCAAATGACATGTATAACCAAAATAGTGCAATATCCTCATGTATCAATCTAGTCCAAATATGACCACTTACCACTAGAGGCTTCTGCAGCATCTGTACCTAAAAGAGGGTTCTCATAACACAGGATGTGATACACGAATATACATCAGATGCAATAAAGTAGGGAAATACTAAATAATGCAATAACATTAAATAATGCATAGTTCACCATAGTATAATAGCAATAACATTAAAGAATGCAATATATACATATACATGTAGTGTGTCAAACATCTCTATAAGTCATCCCTCGAGCTCTCATGTTGTCCTAAGGATACTTAGATGCAAATAGTCCTACTGATCAGATAATCTACAAAGTATGAATTACGCATCGTCATGCAATATACAAAACATAGAGAAACACCATCTTATGTCACACCCAGTGCATACACATAGGTATAACAAAGCATTAAACTACTGTATTGCATTTACATACATTATCAATAACCATTAACCATTTAGGGCTTGGTGAAATAATTAAGGGATAAATT